CTAAAAAACCCCAGAAAATTCTTTTTTACCCTTGTGGGTACAGTCTGGGGTCACCATACTGGCAGCTATGCCAAGCTCACCTGAAATTCTCCCTGAAAAGGAAGAAAAATTCTCAAGCCTTCTCTATGGCATCCCCAATCATCACGTATCTCACTTTGTACAACACCCAGGTTTACACCACCAGGCTCAATCTACCTCCTCTGCTATCTGCCTTACTGAAAGCCTCCATGAGGACACAAAGACAAAGTATACCCAACTGCCAAAGAGGCCTCAAATCAATAATGCACTTACACATATGCAAAAGTCCAGTCTTCTTACTTAATATTAAACCAAGAAATTTACAAAAACTAGGCAAATTAGGAACACCTTTAAGTGTCATGCTGAATCAGAGCAGGGATTATATTCTGAATAACCAGTTTCAAAGGCATAAGTCTTATCCATTGATACTCTGTAGTACAGATTCACAGATTTTACCAGATATGTGAGAACAGACTGATTTACCACAAATGAGATGGGTGAAGTGTTTGGCACTAATAGGAAGGATGATCAGTTATGCCATAAACTCTCCTAAAGGCAAGACAGAATGAAAATTGATAGCATGCCTCAACATGTGAAAGGCACAAAGAAAGAAAAATCAATTTAACAGCAGAAACACGGAGAAAAAATGATCAAACAGGAAAGAACATCTGGACCAGTGAGCTAATTGCTTATAAAAAAACACCAGACTGGTATTTCATATATGAGAAGGGAAAACATATTTCATGACTGGTTTCAAATGAAGGATAAAGAAAACCTATTGCATGAGACCAAATGTTAGTCTTGCATCCACTGAGCAGAATTTAGAGCAATTTTGAGAAAGAACTACTACTATTTCAAGTGATTACAGTGCTAAAATAAATTAATTTTAGCCAGACAAGGATATCATCATAGTTTGAATTCCCTGTGGTGTCATTTCATGTTATTTTTGAGAAATTCCTCAATAAAAATGTCAAATAGAGAGCAAGTTGAGTTCTCCCGAGGACAGTTTTGGACATTTTCCAGTACAAATTTTAACCATGAATTCTTAACCAAACATCTCCTCCCAACAAATAAATAAGTAAGAAATTTCACTTGATTAGAAAGAAAGAAATGTTGAAACAAGAATTCAGGAAAAAACACTTAACCTGTCAACTGCATCTGATCTAATTAGTTGTGAATACTCCAAGTTTGCTTTTATAAAGAAGATTTTAATCATCTTGCTATACTGACGTTACTAGAAAGACATCCAGTGAAGGTTTAAAAAGGAATGTAAACCCTGACAAGAAGAGGCTTAAGATTTTGCATAGACTTCAGTGAGGTCTGAGATGCAGAAATCCTAATGTAACGGTCTTGTCCATTACAACCTGTTTCCTAGAAGGCCCACAGGACTATCCGTGAACTATCATGGGGTCCCATCCCTAGACGTTCTATCTAAAATCACTAGACAAAGATTTTTGGGGATATGTGTGATAAAATGCGGACCAAGTCACTGAGAGAGTAATTCAGCTGTCTAAACATCAGAGTCAGATGCCATTTTAGATTCCTAATATTATTCCATCTAGCTTCCATCTCACACTCCAGATCTACTCCTGTAGATCTCTGGACTCAATGATTCTCATAGGTCCCCTCCAGCTTGAGATATTCTACAATTCTATGATCTCACACATCTGCCAGCTCCAGGGTGTTCTCACTGTCACGAGGCTCCTATATTTAGGCAGTCAAATCACCCCCAAAGAGTTCTTGCTGCGTGGCTCCTTACGTGCTGACAAAATGGACCCTGACAGTAATGCCTGGAAGGCCAAAGGATGGAGGAGAAGGAGGAACAGTGTAGTCTAATGTTGGGTCACTCCTAGCAAATCTTCTGTCCAAGCACATACACATCCACGGTGCTATATGAGAAGACGGTTCAGGAAGGGTTTTCAAAATCAACCTACTGCGAGTTTTATAGGGTCATCTACAAACTCCATCGAAATGACATAATTCTATACAAGATCCACTACAGCCCTGCTTAATGTGAACACAGACAATTTCAGCATGCTAATCAAACGTTACATGCCTTTTCTAAGAGGAACATAAACTTGATACATGGAATATATGATATGGTACCTAACTAGCAATCCTCATTTGACAGTTCTCTAAAGTCCTATAGAGGTTGGGGGAGGGCGGGGGGGGTATGAGAAGAGGAAAAAGATACGTCAGTAGAGGAATGTACTGAAAGGTGAAAAACATTGTCACTAATCTTGTGAAGAGTTCTTTGACTCCTTAAAATCCATGAAAAGTGGTTTCTCAAAAAAGCAAGAACAGGTGGAAACCAGTGGACTTATCAAAACTTTAATTCCTTTCAATACCTAATTTCCTCACGGGAAAAAACCAAATATCTTTGGAATAAATTTATCAAGTTTTACATGCTGGGAAAATTTTCCAAAAGGTTGTATGTGCAAATACAGGGTTTGTTTTTTATTTGAGACCTCACTGCATCCTCTTAAAAACAGCCAACTGCATTTACACACTTCTGGTAATGTAAGTGAAGGGAAATACAACTACTCCAGAAGGGAAAAGACTGTAACATCCCCCTTTTCAAAACTGATACTCTGCTAATGGGCACAAAGAAGCTATCCCAGCAGTCAGTATAACTGATAATACCAGCAACCAGCTAGGGACCAAATGATGACAGAGAAATGAAGTTCTGTCTTTTCTAGCAATGGTGTCCCAAATCTGAGTTAGTACACAACGGGCAGTCATAGCAAGATTTGCATGGCCACTGTCAGCATTAAAAAACTTCAGTCTGAGACCTTACAACCAGACACTTTCATCCTCAGTAAACCCACTCAAATTTTAAGGAAGGGAGAAAGAGGGATGTGCCTTGATTCCTTTTTCAGTGCCTCTAAGTAAAAGCAGCTATTTTACTGAGACATATCAAAGACCATTCATTAGTTGCAAATACTCAATCCGCGTTTGAGGAACAGAAACTTCCCCAGTCCGTGGTTTCAAAATTAGAAAGGCAGCTGTGACCTCTTTTAGCATCCTGAAGTTGCACAGTGGGAGAAAGAGAGCCCTTTGCTATTATTCCCACTCATCTGTTCACTGAACCTGTTCTAGAAGCAACATGGTTCCTAACGCTTTTGGGGTAACACAGAAAGTCAGCTCAGAGTAGACCATGAATATGGGTAGACACTGATTCTAAAAAACCTGAAAGATCTCTTGGCAAGCTTTGGATCAATACTTTCAACTGTAGCCACCTGTTTATATTATTGTAGCCCCCCCCCCCCCCCCCCGCACCCCCCCCACACAAAAAGTCAAAAAGACAAAAACAAAAGAAAG